GAAAAGAAAAGAAAAGAAAAGAAAGAAAAAAAGAAAAAGAAAAAGACTTGGAAGCAGAAATCTTGAGACAAATCCTAATTCCAGTATATACCAACAAGCCTGGAGTAAGGCATTTTTCCTTTTTCTCAGCTAAACTTGTCTGTACATTGAAAAAAAGACCACTTGCATCACAGGGTTGCTTCTAAGAAAGCATGAGGAGACGACATATGTGTTCACATACCTAACACAGAGGTCATAATTAGTGCCAAATTTTAGTTGAATCTGAATTTTATAAATTGTGATTTATATAAAATGATTCATTATTTCACGTTGCCATCAAATTCGCTAATTCAATCTTTCCGTACTAAGACTCAAGTAGGATTCATTTTGCATCTGTGGGATATCCCATGCTGGGTGCCTTAATCCACCACATGTAATACTTCCAGCAAATCTAGGATACTCATAGGTGGCATTTTTCTCGGTTGTAAGGTAAGGAAATTGAAGTCCAGATGAAAACTCTTTTGTCTTATTTGCAGCTGCAATATAAAAATATATCTGGCCAAGTTCTCCATTCCTTAAATAGAGATATGAATCAGCTGCTAATCTTCTATAAACTAGGCCAAAGCATAGTCAACATATCTCCAGTGAATTCACATGACCAAACTTCCTTATTTCAATCACTCTTAGTACTTTTTATTAAGCAAGTATTTATTGTGTATAAGAAAATGTTAAAGATGACACAAAACAAACACAGGTAAAAAGAATCAGGAAATCTGATCAGCAGAGAGGGAAACTATGAAATTAGCCATTTTAGGTTAGTTTGGTAGCAGAAAAATGGGATGGAGGGGACATGGCTGGAAACAAGAAGCATTAAGAAACCATGGCTGTGGGCAAGGTATGAGGCAGTAACCGCTAGGCCTGGGATTGTGGCAAGGGGCATGGGGAGCAAGAGGCAAACATAAGAGATATTTCAGAGGCTATTGAGGGTAAATGAGAAGGACAAGTCAAGGATAATTTTCAGGTTAATTATCTGCCATTGGACACTTGGATGTTTGTCCCCTTAAGCTCATGTTGAAATTTGATCTCCAATGTTGAAGGTAAAGCCTAATGGGAGGTGTCTAGGTCATGGGGGTGGATCCCTCATGAATGGCTTGGTACTACTGAGGAAGTGTGTGAGTGAGCCCTTGCTGTGGGTTCCCATAAGAACTGGTTGTTAAACAGAGTCTGGCGCCTTACCCCTCTCTCTTGCTTCTGCTCTTGCCCTGTGATCTCTGCACACCAGCTCCCTTTTGCCTTCCACCATGAGTGAAAGCAGCCTGGACCCTCACCACAAGCAGATGCTGGCACCATGCTTCTTGTACAGCCTGCTGAACCATGAGCCAAATATGTCTATTTCTTCATAAATTGCCCAGCCTCAGGTATTCCTTTATAGCAACACAAATGGACCAAGACATCATCTAAGGAATTTAGGGAGTGGTGATGCCCTGGACAGAACTGTGGCATTTAGGGAAGATGAAGATGAAATCCAATGGATTACAATGAGGTCGAGGCAACACTGAAGATAGCTCAGGAGAGCTGGCCTGTGGATAATGCAAGGTATGCATCCGGAGCTTAGTGCCAAGTCAGGGCAGAAGATACAGATTGCAGCCTCATCAGCACGGAGCTGACTACAACTGTAGGAAAGAGTTAACTGTCTAGGAGGAAGCATTGGATGCAAATGAGAAGAAGTTTAAAAACTGACATCTAAAATTGCGAGAGGAAAAAAGAAGAAGAAAGGCCCATTTAACCAATTTGTGGTGTACACTTTAATGGAATGCATTTCAATAATAAAGGACTACCTTTTATTCCTGTTTTTCTGTGCCCAAGAAAAGATAAGTATCAATAAAGGAGGAGGCATAAACACTATACATTCTGTTCAAGAAAAATCACGTTCAGGGCAAGAAATTCATTGCTAAAAATCAAATCCCTTGAATATCAATAATCCATTTCCAATTTACCAGTGTGTAAGATCTGCTTCTATCATCCAAACTCTGGAAGTGTCCAGCAAATCTGAGAACTTGCTTCTGCCTGCGATGACTACAGCCTCTAAATTCATTCACTCCTTTCCTCATTCATCCTACTTGCCACAAGCCAAACTCAGCCAAACTTTGACAACACAGTGGCGCATCAGGCAGACATACTGTCTGCTCTGGTGGAATTCATAGTCTAGTCTGTGACAATCTGCATCCTACTTCTTTCCTATACAAAGTAATCAGGATTGAACCTCAGTGACATTTAACTAGTTCTACTTGTCTTTCCTATTGTCCTTTGGCTATGTCCTTTTTATAGATGAAGGCAGGGTGCCTGTTAATCAGCAGAGGGAGGTCTTCTTTTAGACGAATTATGAGGTAACCACAAAAGGTGATAAATATATGCGCAAGTGGCCACACATTTTAACCCAACTGGTTGAGGGGCTCCCACGACCACTCTACAGGGCTGTGCCAGTAGTCTACACAGCAGAGGGTTTCAGACCTATGAAGGCCGCCTACTCCCTTATGAACTCCAGTCAAAGGAATGAGACCATAGGAGGGAAAAGGATCCTCTCACCTCATCTCCCTTCTCATTGCTCTTTCCTGTCTAAATCAAGAGAAAGGAAGGATAAGGGAAGAGAAACAAAAACATTTTTTAATTTTTAAAAAACAAGTAGCAGGATAAATAAAACATGGACTCTCCAAAACTGCTTTTGGTAGATTAGGAAACCTACTGACCTCAGAAACTTTCATTTTATAATTGTCCGGAGATAGAAAGCAGTGCTTCGGAATAAGTGGATAACTCTGCCTGTCCCAGTAGGTGCCATTGGTGAGCACCCAGGATTGTTTTAGTCTCTAAGTCATTTCCCTGCCTGTGGTTTCAATCAATGTCAAATACCTACAGGGGTCAGGCAGGTAACTCAATGAAGTAAAATAGGTTGCATAGATGTCACAGGGATTGCCACACACTGGAAAATATAAGTCTTATCTAAAGGTAACAGCAGAAAGAATGTAGGCTTGTTTAAGAGAAACCAGAAATCTGGATTTTTACGTAAAAAGTTGTCTGATTTTTAATATACTGGCAAAATTTTTTCAATTAAATATCAAGTTGGCTAATCTGTAACTGACTCATCCAGACATCACTAATTTACAACTTCTGGTCTATGGCAAGTTTGCAATGTTTGTGTGGAAACATGGAAGTTGCTGCAGGGTTAGAAACAAACTTTAGCTTGTACAAAGAGTGCAAAAGACTTCAGAATGCTGAAAGAACATAAAGAAGGTGCATACAATTATAATTACGTATTTAAAAAAGAGATCATTTAAACACATAAAAATAAACGGTGGGCCGGGCGCGGTGGCTCAAGCCTGTAATCCCAGCACTTTGGGAGGCCGAGACAGGCGGATCACGAGGTCAGGAGATCGAGACCATCCTGGCTAACACGGTGAAACCCCTTCTCTACTAAAAAATACAAAAAACTAGCTGGGCGAGGTGAC